AGCGATGGTGATGCATGGTGATGCTTGTGGTGTTGGCGACGGCGGTGACCATGAGGATGGTGATGGTGATGATGTCGATGATGATGATTGGGATGGCGATGGTGAGGGTGATGTTGCGGCTTGCGAGTTTGACGTTGACGATGTCGACGGTTCTGACATGATGGCGGGTCGGATGGTGTTGTCGACGAGAACGATTTTCTGACGACGGTTGGTTGCCGTGGCAAGGATCATCATCATACGTCGTTTGCCGTTCTGGTGCGCCCCGCGAAGGATGCCGCTGCTGGGGTCCCATGTGCGGCCTCGGGGCGGCAACGCCGTCGACTCGGAGACGTTTACCCAGGTGTTTCTCATGCTTTTTGCCTTCCCCGGCTGCCCAGGAGGAAGCGGAGGAGGAGGAGGAGGAAGAAGAAGATGAGGATGAGGGAGAGGAGCGGAACAAGAGGAGGAGGAGGAGGAGGAGGAGGCGGAGGACGAGGACGAGGGGGACGATGACGAGGTGGACGAGGAGGACGAGGAGGATGAGGATGAGGACGAGGAGTAGGAGGAGGAGGAGGAGGAGGAGGAGGGGGAGGAGGAGGAGGAGGAGGAGGAGGAACAGGAGGACAATGACCAGCATGACAACTGTTGGGAGCACATAAGGTACGGGGAACGAGGGAGGAGATGATAGGGAGCTGTGAAGAGGAGTGGGAAGAGGGGAATAGCAAGGGAAAAGCGGGGAATGGGGATGAAGACGGGATGAACCTATTGAAGAGGCAGGTCGGGATTGGGAGTGCAGGATAGGCGAGCGGAGAGTAAGTGTTGGGGGTTGGGGATGGGTGGGTTAGGGGGGGTTGCGAGGGGAGGGGAATAGGAAGGGTACGAACCGAGACAGACCAGGTATATTATGGCTCTGCGATCGCTGTGTGAGCATTGCACAGTCGGGCAACAGGCAGTGATGGCACGGGCCTTCCACGTAAACAGTCCGGCATCCAGAGGGTTGCCATCAGAGGAGACGGAGCAGGAACTGGAGGAGGAGGAGGAGGAGGAGGAACAGGAGGGGGACGAGGGATGCGGTGGACTTGCAGGGTGGGAGGGAGGGAGGGAGGGAGGGAGGGAGGAAGGAGGGGGAGAGCGGGATGGAGGGAGGGAGGAGGAGGACGAAGAGGAGGACGAAGAGGAGGAGGATGAGGAGGAGGAGGAGGAGGAGGAGTGGGAGGAAGCGGAGGACGAGGCGGAGGAGGAGGAGGACGAGAAGGAGGAGGAGGAGACGGATGTGACGAATGAGACGGAAGAGGAGGAGGAGGACCAGGGCAAACCCATCAACGATGTTGGCATACACCCTCCCTCCAAGCTCCTTCTTCATAGGCTCATATAAGGGTTCATTTCCATTGAGGGAACTGCCTCGCTGGAAGACAACCGTTTGAAGACCCTGAAGCATGCCAAGACATTATTCTCCGAACTCGAACCCCACGGATCAACCTGACTGCTGCGTCTTGACGATCCTGCATTTTGCCAGGACGCCATTCTTGGGACTTCAACGCCGCGAACAAACGTAACTGTTGCACCCTCATATTCTTGAGTCTTTCCAACATATCGTTTCTGGTTCTTTGACCATGGGGATATGTGAGAACGTTTGTAATTTGTAAGAAGGAATGTGCGCGGCGCTGGGGCGAAACCACATTTTGAAAACGAGCCGCCCTCAATCCGTGAAGCTCTGGCAGATGAGTTGATTCAGTCATCCCCCGGAGCCCACTTCTGACCCACAGCTTCGTCGCAGTTGGTGTGGGTTGGCTCAGGTAAAGAGAGCGCGGCTCGCCCGTTTGTAGATTCGGGGTGGTTCGTGCCATAATATGCTCAAACTTCGGCCCCCCCCCCTATCTGGGGATGCCAAAAAAATTTGATTGTCTGGCAGAACAAATCTCTCTTATCCAATGAGCCCCGCATGGCATTGGCGCAACGCACAGCTCTTCGCCTGGCCCCCGCAGGCAGCGGCTGGGCAGGAGGGGGTCCGGAAAGCCCTTCATCGTCCGTCGGGCCCTCCCCTGCCATGTCCACAGCTGGCCCAGCCAGGGCAAGAGCGATGGCCGAGTTCAATGCAGAAGGGAAGGGGTTGTATGGATTTGAATTGAAGACCCAGGCCCAAACGCTCACCTGCTCCAAGATATCGCACTACGATTCCGCGACCCCCGGTCAAGTGCATCATGTCGGCCGTGGGCGAGGAGGCCCCGTCTTCCGTTGCGTCAAATGGTTATGCCAAAGGCTTTGTGGCAGAAGCTCGGAGAAAAGTTGTTCGTGACGGAATGGGCGACGCGACGCCGCATTTGAAGCTGAGACTGCAAGGGGCACCGCGGGCTTGACCTGTGCGGCGGCTGCCGGAAAGCGGTGCGTTCTCCGCGCGCCACTGATGACGCGAGGTGCGAGCGGTTACAGGCGCCGGGAGAAGGGGCCGGGAGTGCGACCGTGCCATAATCCATTTGCAGTTCTGCGATCGATGTGACGAGTCGAGTCCTTTCGCCGTCCCGCCCAAGTGGGTTGCGGATGTGTCCAGTGCTGCCTGCGTTGCCTGGGCTACTGGCCACGGGCAGAGTTCCGCAGGGTCCCATATGCCTAAGGCACGTGCAACGGATTCGAGTGCGCCAGCCGACTATGTCGGGGCTGCTGCGTTTTCTCGCGAGCCATCTGCCAAGGGTGCCCAGCGGCCGCGCTCCGCGAAGCCTGAGGGCCGCTATGCAGCAGCGTGAATGGCGGACGACGCAGCGGGCAAGGGAGAGGACAACGAGGGCAGCGGCGAGGGATCGAAGAGGCCAAGCAGCCACGCGCCAGACGATCAACAATAATCCACGCGGCGCCGAGCTGAGAACCCAACGCAGTGGGACAAGCCCCACAGTGCAGGGGTAGCTTCTTCGAGTGCCATGCCTCCTGCGCGGCCCCAGGCGGCCCGTGACAATCGGTTTCAGGAGGCCCCGTGGCGTGCTGAGGCTGATGCAACGCGGCGCAGGGCAGATGCGGACTGGCCATATCGCCCATGGCGCGCGCGCCGACATGGAGCCGCAGACCACAGATTCCCCCACCCCGTGGCAGGGAGTTGCCGCGACCTGGTGGTCATCGTGGACATGGAGCTCGGACAGCTGGTACAACGACGACTGGGGTCACGCGATCACGGGTGAGTCTGCGAGGAAGATGACGAGGGGGAAGGCGGCCATGCCGATAGTGCCCTTTCGAGACTGATGGTTGCGGCTCAGATGCGTCCAAAAGGGATGGCGTGAGTCGCCGTGGTGTAAAGGCGCCATGCACCCGCGTCTTTTGCACAACGCTCCAGACAGTCGGATAGCTGTCTGCTGCGCGCTGCGCGCCAAGACCCTTCTATCAAAAATCGGGGCGATGCCTAAATCAGGTTCGCCCGTCCGCGCGAGTGGAGCTCGCCGGGCCGGCCGCGGGGGGATTTGATTTAGTCGCCTCCCCAGGCCCACTTCTGACCCGCAGCTTCGTCGCAGTTGTTGTGGGTTGGTTCAAAAAGAAAAAGCGCGGCCCGCCCTCCCTGCGCGCGCGCGCCCTTCCGGACGCCCCCCTGGCCAGCCGGCCTTCTTTCTCGTTGCTAACCCAAGCTTAACGGACACCACCATACCCTTTCAGCCATGGCGTTGAGAGACACATCACCTACATTGAAAGTAAACCGGAGCAAGAGACTACTACAGCAAGAAGATGAAGGAGATCAGTTGCGATACCATCGTGGCCACCTTTTGCCCATCAGCATGGCTTGTAGCGAGCCCATATCATCAATGAATTGGTAAACTACTAAATGTTTGAAAACGAATGCGCGTGGCGATAAGGCGAGAATCACATTCTGAAAACGGCCCGCCTTCAATCCGTGAAGCTCTTGCACATGTGTACAAGAATTTCGCGCGGCGCTGAGGCGAGAGCCACATTTCGAGAACGACCCGCCCTCAATCCGTGAATCTCTTGCTAATCTTTAAAACGAATCCGCTCGGCGCTACGGCGAAAGACGCATTTCGAAAATGGTACGCCCTCAATTTGCGAAGCTGTTGCCAATGTTTCAGCTTCAGGGTCATAAGTGGTGAGGAAATCTCAGGCAACACGCCCGGCCCGCCACTTCGACCGGCCTCGGGGTGCGACGCGGAAAAATTGCTTACAAGGAAACGGAATGGAGGAGGAGGAGGAAGAGGAGGAGGAGGAGGACGAGGACGAGGAGGACGTGGATGAAGAACATGAGAAAGATCGGGAAGAGGAGGAGGAGGAGGAGGAAAAGGAGGAGGAGGAGGAAGAGGAGGAAGAGGAGGAAGAGGAGGAATAAGAGGAGGACGAGGAGGGGGAGGAGGAGGAGGAGGAGGAGGAGGAGGAGGAGGAGGAGAGGAGGAGGAAGGGGAGGGGGAGGAGGTGGAGGAGGAGGAGAGAAAAGGAGGAGAAGGATGAGGAGGGGGACGGCAGAGGGGACAAGGAGGAGGAGCGGCGGACGGGGCGGAGGAGGAGGAAGGAGGAGGAACTGGAGGAGGCGGAGGGTAAGGAGGTTAGCGGAGGACGGTAAACGTGGGGAGAAGGTGAACAGGAGGAGGGGGTAAGGTGAACAGGAGGAGGGGGTAAGGATTCATGAGGGGGGGGGAGGGGGGGGGGGGAAAGGGGGCGAGTTTGAGAGGAGGAGGAGGAGAGGAGGAGGAGGAGGAGGCGAGGAGGAGAGGAGGAGGAGAGGAGGAGGAGGAGGAGGAGAGGAGGAGGAGGAGGAGGAGGAGGAGGAGGAGGAGGAGGAGGAGGAGGAGGAGCAGAGGAAGAGGAGGAGGATGAACATAGTAATACCAATCAGAAGAATGGGGGGCGGGTAAGCAGGAGACAAATCGCCCTTGTGACCGCTTTAGCTCGAAAACGGTGTTTTCCTGTATGTTGTCTTGGTGGGCCATGTCGTCGTCGTCGTCGGCGGCGGCGGCGGTGTCGTCGTCGTCGTCGTCGTCGTCGCCGTCGCCGTCGTCGTCGTAAGGAACAGATGGGGCGCTCACGTACGTAACAATTCTAGCTCAAATGGGGAGGCCTTCAGAGGTCACCCCTTTGACAATGCACTCTTTTTGCATCGTACACAGTCCATATTGAACAGGAGCAGCCAGGAATGACGCTGAAGGCGTTTGCTCGGGTTCTCCTCGTGGTGGCATCATCATCGCCCGTGGCAGCCATCTCGCTGCAACGGTCAGGGCCAGCGCTGTCTCCCGCCCACGGCGTCGGGGAAAGTGACACCAAGAGAAACGACACGGGGCCGCTGCCGTCTCCCGCCCAGACTTTCCATCTTATTCACGACGATCTGACCGTCATGGACACTCTTGGTGAGTTTGCCAAGCAGTATGCTAATATCACTAATGGTGGGCCTCCTGGGCGCATCCCTGGCAAAAGCAACGAGTTGGCCACTCGCGAAGTCGCTACATCACAAGACACCCTTATCGACGCCGCAGGCCAGGTATCTTTTCACAGGAACGATGGGAGACGCATCTATGTGATGGACAAAGCGCACGACACGCTGATCGACACTGCGAAGGAGCGTACCCGTGACCTCCACAGTTACACCATATGAGTACGATTCTCCTCTTTATGTGCTGAGAGTGGTGCGTCCCCCTCGGCGTATTGTGACTTAAACGCAGGATTGTCCAGAGTTGTTTTTGGGTGCCCGGTGTTTCCCAATCCGATCGTTCTCGGTCCTTCCAGATGGGCGCTCCCGCTGCAACGTGGGCTGCGCTTCAGGATCGACGCTTTGCTCCCGCCGTTCAGGATGGGGCTTTCGCCCCAGCGCGGGCCACTTCTAGGTCCAAATCCTTCCTCACCGTTGTCGCCCCCCGCTGCTCCTCCCGCTCCTGCCACTCCAGCTCCTATTGCTGCTGCTGTTCGTCCTCGTCCTCGTCCTTCCTCCTCATCCTGCTCATCCTCCCGCACACCCGCCACCTCCTCCGATGGGGTCCTCTTTTGAGTTCCAGGTCCGCTATGACGCGTCGTCGGATAGAGAACAACCAAGCGCAGTGGGAAGGGATGTGCGGGAGGGGCACGATGGCATTTTGGATGCGAGCGCAGCTAGCTTGCCCTCTCCCTCTCTGCCTCTTCCTTCTCCTCTCCAGGACATCGCAATGGCGCCTGTTGATGTTCTGATACTTGGAATGCCCGTTCTCGCTGCGAAGGCAAGGATCGCAAGCGATGCGTTCTCCCAGGCAATTATCTTAAAACGCGCTGACCGGTCGATCAGGGCTCGATCAGGCCGCTGGTCTAGCTGGTCCGTAGGTCGGTCGGCCATCGGGTCTATCGATCCAGCGCTCGATCCGCGCGGTGCCTTGCGCTCTTGCACGGATCGGACCGGCCAGATCAGGATACTTAGCAGGCCGTGAATCAGTTCGGGGCAGGCGTGAGGCTTCTGAGGCAATGAAGGAGTCCATGGAAATGCTGAGCGAGGGCGATCTCTCTGGCGCTCTGAAGGCGGCATCGATCGCCATCGCGCGGTACCAGAAGACGAGCGAGGCTCTGGATCAAGGGACGTCCGTGGCTGCCTCGAGGTCCGTCGGAGTCCTGATGGTATTCTTTCTGGTGGCCAGCATGTGGGGCGTTGAGCAGTTCATGGAGAGGCAGGAGAAGTGCCCCGAGCAGACCGTCTGCGACCGAGACCCCGGGAATTCCCTGCGCTCTGCGGCGGCACGTCTGGGTATGCCATCTGAATTAGAGCACTGCTCGCGGAACCTCCCCACCCCCTCCTCCGCCTACCTTCTCCTGCATCCTGTGCATCCTCGTGCTCTTGGGGGCTCCAAGCTGCGCAACCGTCGCCACTTTCGTGGGCTCCTGGGAGGCGCGACGGAGTGCAGCGCAGAGGGGATCCCTTTGAGACCTCGCGGCTCTCTGGGGAGGTGGGGGTGGGGACGGTGGGGACGGGGAGGGCTAGGATGATGGAATCATCCGCCCACAGCCCCCCCTGGGGGGTCGGCGGGGACGTCTGCAGCACAGGGCAAGCCCTTCTTCAATGCCCTGAGCTTCACACGCTACCTGCTCTGCTCTCGGAAGGTCCCCGATCTGTGTGGACCGGGGCCCGCCAGCCTGGCCGCGGATCTCGCCGATTCGATCGGTTGCTTCATCGCCGGGGTGCTCCGAATCCTGGGCCTGGGATCGGTGTATGTGTATGGTCGGCGTACTCCTGTCAGCAGCAGGATCATGCCATGGATCATTTGGGATCGGGGAGGAGGGGCACCTGGCGAAGGAACCATGCAGAGGTGGGCCGAAGAGTCAGCAAATCCTGGAAATTATGAGTCCCGTGCCACCATGGTCTCAGCAGGAGAGGCGGCACCGGTTGAATGGGGTAGCAATGAGGAGGCGGAGTAGGAGGAGGAGGAGGAGGAGGAGGAGGAGGAGGAGGAGGAGGAGGAGGAGGAAAGGAGGAGGAGGATGGGTGCTCTGGCCGCTCGCGGGGCGCCCCGTCCAGCTCCAGGGGAGGGTGTGTGGGGGTGATCAAGACATTTCCTAGACAGGAAGCCGTCTAGCTCACTCCCACCCGCCTTCCCAGCACAGGAGTAACACCCGCGCCTGAGCATGTTCAGCGGTCGTCTTTGAATTGACAGCTACTGGGAACCATAACCGAGCCCATGTGCGCGACGCTGGAGCGAGGTGCGCCGCGCGTGCCAGGCACGCCTGGTGCGCCAGATGTGCAACGTGCTCCGCGTGTGCCAGGTGTGCCGCATACTCCAGCCGCGCCAGGTGCGCCACGTTCGGGGCACGTGCAGAGTGTGTCAGGTGCGTCTGCGCACGTGACAGCACACATCGGTACACATGTCGGGCCCCACCATCCTTATCGAAAGGCAATGGCCATCATTGTATCTGGTAAGCCTGCGCAAAGCAGGCCATACGCCACCACCCCAGCCGTCCCTGTCAAAAACCACTTGAGAGTGATCGCGGGGTGGTCGCGCATGATCCAGATTTAGCCGCGAGGTGCATTCTGTATTGTTTGTTTGTTCGGGATGGTGGCCCTGCGCACAGCAGGTAATATGCTGACTCCCTCGCCGTCGCTGCAACAAACAATAGAAAGTGCTCGCGGGCGTCGCGAGCATGACTCAAGACTCTGCCCCAAAGTGTCTGTCGTATTGGTTCTTGACAGGGCTGGTTGGGGGGGGGCGCATCGGGTTGGCCGCGCATGCTCCAGATGTGGAGACAGCTTGCGTTTTGTATTGTTTTTTGACAGGGGTGGTGGGGGGTGAGCATGTTGTTCTCATTGTTCCTGGGTGGCTGGCTGCCGGTCGCCTGGGGGAGGTGGTGGGGGAGGTGGTGCATACATATACATCTAACGGGGGACTGGGTTCGGGGGCCGGGGGCCGGCGCCTCGACCGCAAATGTGGGGCCTGGGCGTCATTTCCTTTTTGTGTTTTTTACACGGTTTCGGCGATCCGGGGCCAACAAGGCCCCAAGAGGCTGCAGGGAGGCCCCAGGAGGCCGCAGCGATGGTTCCAGACGCCTTTCAAGACGACTCCCATGACGGCCCCCGAAGGCCCCAAACACGCCCCAAGAGGCACCCCAAGAGAGCCCCAATAAGCAAATATTGTCGATTTCCGATGGGGAAACTGGTATTATTGGCGTGTTCGCCTTGTGGGCTTCCGCTGCGTCCAAGACGGCCCAAGAGGCCCCCAAGATTGCCCCACAGGCTCCCAAGAAGGCTCCAAGACGACCCCAAGAGGGTCCCAAGGACGGCCCGAGAGGCCCTCAAGAGAGCCCCAGGACGAGCCCCAGAGGGGTCCCAGAGGTGCACAATCATATTCAAATTCCGAGCTTTCGGCGCCAGAGGCTCCTAGGAGGCCCCAAGAGGTCCCCAGGAGGCCCCAAGAGGCCCTCCAGAGGCCCCAAGAGGCACCCAAGAGACCCCCAGGAGGCTCCCAAGAGGCACCCCAATAGAGCCCCAAATAAGCAAGAATCGCCGACCCAATTGGAAAACATACATTTTTGGCGTATTCGCCTTTCGGGCTTCCACTGCGTCCAATACGGCCCAAGAGGCACCCAAGACGGCCCAAGAGGCACCCAAGACGGTCGAGGATGCCCCCAAGAGGGCTCCAAAGCAGCCCACGAGGGGGCCAAGACGGCACACGAGACGCCTAAACCGCTCAACAACGCCCCAAGTCGGCGCCCAAGACGGGGACGAGGAACCGAAAATGCGAGCCATTTGGCCCAAGAGGCCCCCAGGAGACCCCAAGAGGCTCCAAGAAGCGCCCAAGAAGCCCCAAGATGCCCTCATGAGACCCGCGAAAACACAAAAAGAGTTCCCGAACACGCCCCAAGGGGCATTCCTACAGAGCCCCAAATATGCAAACATCGTCGATTTCCGATGGAGAAACTGATATTATTGGCGTGTTCGCCTTTTGGGCTTCCATTGCGTCCAAGACGGCCCAAGAGGCCCCCAAGACTGCCCCACAGGCTCCCAAGAGGGCTCCAAGACGACCCCAAGAGGGTCCCAAGGACGGCCCGAGAGGCCCTCAAGAGAGCCCCAGGACGAGCCCCAGAGGGGTCCCAGAGGTGCACAACCATATTCAAATTCTGAGCTTTCGGCCCCAGAGGCTCCTAGGAGGCCCCAAGAGGTCCCCAGGAGGCCCCAGGAGGCCCTCCAGAGGCCCCACGAGGCACCCAAGAGACCCCCGGGAGGCTCCCAAGAGGCACCCCAATAGAGCCCCAAATAAGCAAGAATCGCCGACCCAATTGGAGAACATACATTTTTGGCGTATTCGCCTTTCGGGCTTCCACTGCGTCCAAGACGGCCCAAGAGGCACCCAAGACGGCCCAAGAGGCACCCAAGACGGTCGAGGATGCCCCAAAGAGGGCTCCAAGGCAGCCCACGAGGGGGCCAAGACGGCACACGAGACGCCTAAACCGCTCAACAACGCCCCAAGTCGGCGCCCAAGACGGGGACGAGGAACCGAAAATGCGAGCCATTTGGCCCAAGAGGCCCCCAGGAGACCCCAAGAGGCTCCAAGAAGTGCCCAAGAAGCCCCAAGATGCCCTCATGAGACCCGCGAAAACACAAAAAGAGTTCCCGAACACGCCCCAAGGGGCACTCCTACAGAGCCCCAAATATGCAAACATCGTCGATTTCCGATGGGGAAACTGATATTATTGGCGTGTTCGCCTTTTGGGCTTCCACTGGCCCCCAAGACTGCCCCACAGGCTCCCAAGAGGGCGCCAAGACGACCCCAAGAGGGTCCCAAGGACGGCCCGAGAGGCTCCAAGAGAGCCCCAGGACGAGCCCCAGAGGGGTCCCAGAGGTGCACAACCATATTCAAATTCCGAGCTTTCGGCCCCAGAGGCTCCTAGGAGGCCCCAAGAGGCCCTCCAGAGGCCCCACGAGGCACCCAAGAGACCCGCAAAAACACAAAACAAGTCCCCGAACACGCCCCAAGGGGCACCCCAATAAAGCACCAATAAGCAAGACTCGTCGATTTCCCATGGGAAAACATATATTTTTGGCGTGCTCGTCGTTTGGGCTTCCACTGCGTCGAAGACGGCCCAAGAGGCACCCAAGACGGCCCAAGAGGCACCAAAGAGGGCCCCAAGACGACCCACGAGGGGGCCAAGACGGCACACGAGATGCCTAAACCGCTCAACAACGCCCCAAGTCGGCGCCCAAGACGGGGACGAGGAACCGAAAATGCTAGCCATTTGGCCCAAGAGGCCTCCAGGAGACCCCAAGAGGCTGCAAGAAGCGCCCAAGAAGCCCAGAGAAGTCCCCAAAAGACCCGCAGAAACACAAAAAGATTGGGCTTCCACTGCGTCCAAGACGGCCCAAGATGCACCCAAGCTGGTCGAGGATGCCCCCAAGAGGGCCCCAAGACAGCCCACGAGGGGGCCAAGACGGCCCACGAGGCGCCCAAGAACGCCCCAAGTCGGCGCCCAAGACGGGGACGAGGAACCGGAAATTCGCACCTTCTGGCCCAAGAGACCCCCTGGAGACCCCAAGAGGCTCCAAGAAGCGCCCACTCCCCAAGAGGCCCCCATGAGACCCGAAAAAACACCAAAAGAGGCCCCGAAGACGCCCCGAGAGGCACCCCATAGAGACCCCCTGGCCCCGGGTGCGACACCTCCCCGTGACATCTCGGGAACGCTCCCGGTACTGCTCCCCCGGGCGTTCTTGGGGGCCTCCACAGCGCTCCAGGAGGGCCCGAGACGCCTCCCAGAATGCGAAAGAATGATCCAGAATGCGAAAGGAATGCGAAAGGATGATCCAAAACGCTCCCAAGCAGCCCAAGTCAGCCTTCCGACGGCTCTCGAGGCTCCCAGGTAACCTCCAAGAGACCCCAAGAGAGGTCCGAAAGGCGTCCCTGGAGGGCCCGAAGAGGCCAAAATCGTAGATTTTCATTTGTTTTTTCAATGTTTTTGGCGTCTCGCGTGTTCGAGCTTCCAACGGTCCAAGAGCGTCGACGAGGCTCCCAAGACCGCCCCAAGACCACCCAAGAGACCCTCAGGACGGCCCCAAGACGGGCCAAGAAGGTTCCAAGACTGCCGAAGAGGCGCCCAGGACAGCCCCAGACCACCCCAGAACAGGCCCAAGATGGGGCCAAGAGCGGGAGCAGGAGGCTTCCAGAGACCTCCGAAAGGCCTCCGGGACCACCCAGAGGCCCCCAACACACCCCCGATCCCTGAGAGGCCCCAGAAAGACCCCGACGAGGCTCCAAGAACAGCCCAAGAGAACTGCGAGAGCCGTCCCGAGAGAGCCCAAAGAGGGTAAACTCGTTGATGTCCCATGTTTTTTCTAATATTTTTCGCCTTCTCACGTTTTCCCGCTTCCAACCCTCGAAGATCGAGGACTTTGATACAAAAGGGAATTCCCAGAACCCTCCCTTTTTTCAAAATGGGACTCCCACTCGGGGTCCTACACATCCCCTGACATCTGGCCAGTACCGCGCCTCCCGGCTTCCCGGGGGGAGACCCCAAGTCGCCGAAGGACAGCCCATGACGACCCCAAGGAGCCCCGAGAACGTAAAGAACGGCCCAACACGCTCCCGCGCAGCCCGCGACACCCTCCCGACGGCTCTCCAGGCCTCTAGGAGGCCTCCAGAACCTCCAGGGGGTCCGGAAGATCCCACACCCCTGAGGGGCCCGGCTAACAAAGCCCGCGAGGCACAAACAAAAAACAGCGCCGAGCAGTGCCGAGGAATTGGGAAAATAGGGGAATCCCACAAGTTCTGTTTTTTCTGAGTTTGGCCCCCGGTCTACTCTTGCACAACAGACTACAATTCAGACCCCCCTCACCTCCCCCCAAAAAACCCAGGAAGCCTTTGAGGGGCCCAAATCGTTGAATACCTAAAAAGGAAATTGATGGTTTCCGCGTTTCCCCTTCTGTACGATCCCGAGGCTTGCGCAGGGCCTCCAAGGGAGTCCCTGGACGCAAGAAGCGACCAAAATGAGATGACATGCGTTAACCTATCAAGCCTAGCTAGAGAGCTTGAGCGCGCGCGAAGCGCGCGATGGTTCTAGTGTGAGTGTGTATATATATAATATAATATAATCCTCCCCCGAAGGGGAAGAAGGGGGTTGGAAGAGGAGCCTCCCTGGACCACCTACGCCCAGAGGGCTGGTGGAATTCGCCGCGCGTTCGTGGCGTCGTCCTGCGTAGTGCGATTTATTTGCCCCAGTCTTGTACCGTGAGATCCCACGGCATCCGGGCAATCATTGCCACAGCCTGTTCCTTCTCATTGCACCTCCCCTGCGCCGCCCCCTCCCTGTGTGCAGCGCGCGCGACCCGTTACCATTTTGGCTCGAGGGCGGTATGTGCGCGCGATTCATTTAAGCGAGTGTTCCGCGTGAGACGTCCGTGCTCTGTAACATCGCAGAATACGTGGTGGTCGCCGTTCGCCTCGCGTGGCTCAGGCATTGCATTGCCGCATGCCGTAAAGTTACGCTGATGCTATCGCGCATTGACCTGCTTGTTGCGCGGGCGTTCGCGTAAAGTCACAGTGCGCATATATGGTCACACCGTTGCGGCGTGCCCATGGCGACTACCATGCCTGAGCTTATGCGGATATGAGCATGGCCCCCATATGCTCGCTGCTTATAGGTACCTCTCTGATTGGAGACTCCGCTTGTGCCTTTGCCGTGGCAATGCGCGCGTTTTTTTTCGCGATGCGCATGCCGATGGGCATGGTCCGGTGAGCCACTTGCCAGTGGCCATGTCGCTGGCTACGCACGCGGGTTTTGACTGGCACGTGGCCATGTCCGTTGCCATGGCCACGCTAGTGCATTTACGTGGTCGCGCGGCGACTGTTACAGCCTTGCTATCGGATGTTCATGTGGTGGTTCTCGCGAGGTGCAGGGCAATGACCCTGACCACTGGTGCCATCATGGCTCGGTTCTAGAATGTGCCGTTCTTCACGGCTCTACCACCTGTCATGTCATGTCCATATGCCAGAGTTCGTGGCTATGTTTCTGGATGCGCGTGCGTGGCCAAGAGATGCGTCTTCTTGTCGCGTCGTCGGGTAATGGCACCGCAGTTGACACATTGTAGCCATGCAAGCATATTGTTGCGACGGCCAGTTGCCTCGGCAGTCAAGCGTCAAGTTATTCGCGAGCGCCACGTGGGCCTCGCGATGGTTTCGGGCGGGCAAGAATTGCGCGGTCGGTGCGTCAACGATGTTGCGTTTGGCAGTTGGTGCTGGCCGACGCTTGATTTTGGCGGTCGATTGTCGGTCGCGCTGGGCAGATGACTCGCCGTTACCGCCTCTTCTTGGTTTTCTGCGCGTGGCGATTTGGCCTTGCACCCTTTTATATTCGCTCGGGCCGGCCCGCTTGCAAAGGCCGCGCGCTCTTCGGGCAGCAGGGCCAATATGGCGACATGTGCTAACGCCACACATGTTCTAAATTGCTTCGTGGGGTTGTTGTTAAGGTTGGGGGGTGCCAAAGCATTGGCTATATATATTGATCTTTTCGCGTTCCTCTCGGCCAGGGTCCCGCGGGACTTTGCTCTGTGTGCTTTTGGTGGCCCCGCGTAAGGTTTGGAATGGTTCGTCTGCTTGCGATCGCACCGAGCGCAATTCTCTTGAAAAAGAGGCTCGCCTACAGTATTATCGGTGGTTCTCTCTTCGAATAGAGACGTTGCCCACGCTATTGCAATGCAGCAGACAAACAAACGCACAACTGATTTCTTGGTATCATGACCCCATGGGGAGTTCCACCGGAGGCCCCAGTGAAAGATTTACAGGCGGTGCCGCAATCACGTAGGCACACCCCTCACACGTTTCGTGGCCCCAGATGGGAGTTCCACCGAATGCTGCAGAGACAGGAGCAGCATGGCGACCCCGCGTTCTTTTCGGGACAACCCTCGCACGGCTCGTGGCCCCATGGGGTCTCACCGAAGGCCCATGCGGCATTGTCCGCATGGCGGCCCCCGCACCCATGTCAGCATACCTTTCACACGTTTCGTGGCCCCATGGGGAGCTCCACCGAAGGCGGCAGCGGCATGGTCCGCATGGCGGCCCTGCGCGCATTTCGGCACACCGCTCACACGCTGTGTGGCCCCGTTGGGAGTTCCATCGAAGGCTCCAGCTGCAGGGTTTGCATGCCAGCCCCGCACCCACTTCGGCACACCCCTAGGACGTTTCGTGGCTCCATGGGGGCCTGTCCGTCCTTCGTTTCGCCTGCCTTGCGGCACTCGCTCCCGCATGCAGTTGGGCCCTTCGCAAGGATAGTTTTCACTGCGGGAAGTACCCCACGGGAAGACAACTTTTTGATAATCCTCAACCGTGCTCAAACAGTTCTTCGGGCTTCAATGCCGCGAATCAATGTGGCAGCTGCTCTCTGACAGTCCTGAATCGTGCCAGGGCAGCATTTCTGGGATGTCAACACAGCGAATCCAAGTGACGGCTGCGTCCTGGCAATCTGGGTTCGCTGTAGAATGCCAGTCCTGGAATTTCAACCAGACGAATGTCGGAAACTGCTGTATACGTTTCAGACGAATGTCGGTGGCGCTAGGGCGAAAACAACATTTTAAAAATCACCCGCCCTGCGAACATTTGAGACACATGCGCGCGGCGCTAAGGTGATGGCCACCTTTTCGATACATGGTCGCCATCCATACTTGACATTGTTCCGAATTTGAAAGGCGAATGTGCGTGGCGTTGAGGCGAGAGCTACATGTTCAAAAAGCCGCTCTCCACCCTGTTGCATATGCCAAGCTTCACGATCATGAGTGGTGAGGAGTGTTCAGGCGAAACGCCTGGCCCGCCCTACCGACACGCCTGGGGGTGTGACGGGGAAGAGTTATTCACAATGGGATGGGATGGAGGGGGAGGAGGGGGAGGAGGTGGAGGTGGCAACCTTCCGGCGATCAGCAACCTGCTGAGACCTCCAGCGGCACAGACCGCGCCGGCCTGGCGCTCGTGAGCCAGGGCCACCCTCCGCTCGGGTATGGCCAGGACCCGGTTAGTGGTAGGGCCCCGGAGCCCTCGAATTGGCCAGAATCATTAAACCAGGTTTGCCATAGCTGGTGTTTTTTCGGGTGACGGCAGTTGCGGTTAGTGGAAATGGGACGGGGGGGCGCCCCCGGTACAAATCACTATGAACCAGGTTCCCCTAAACCCAGTTCTGCCAACGCCCGATCCGCGCGCCGCCACCGCGCGGGGCGGAGGTGCCAGCGCGCGCTGCCGCGCCGCGCCTGCAATGTCCTCCCCTCTCCCGCCCTCCTCCGTCATACTGTTGCTCCTCCACTGCTGTTCTTGCGCAGGCTGCTGAGCGCTCCCGAGCGCCCGTAGCGTCAAGCTGCTCGTCCCGCTCCTCCTCCCTCCTTGCTTCCCTTCTCCTCATGTTACTCCTCATCGTGTCATCCGCTTCAAGTCCTCCCTCTCCTGACGGGCCGCCCCTCGTGTTTGGACGTGGAGCCGCCTCGATTTCTATCCCCTCCGCCCAACCAAACAACTCGCAGGACTCACAGGAAGGGGTGCAGGATGGAGGAGGAGGAGGAGGTGAAGCGGGAGGTGAAGGAGGAAGAGGTGTCTTCTGTCATCTTGTCGATGCGCAGGCGCGCCCAGGGGTCGGGGAGGCGAGGATGGGGTAACTAGGGGGCTGGAGCTCGGTGCTTCACTCTCCGTCAGAACTGAGGGGAGGATCTGGCCACTGGCCTGACCAGGCTGGCGGCATGCACTTAAAGAAAGATATGATGGGCGCTCCCGAGGTTCTGCATGATGGGGGTCGCCGACAGCTTCTACAATCCAGGGCGGCAAAAGTCCTCGGAGGCTTGGGTATTAGGGGACATTCCAGCCCTCTCAGACTGCGCCACCTTGTCCTGCTCCTCCCGCCCTTCCTCTCGCGTATCTTCCTCCCGTGTCCCCTCCCGTTTCCGCCTCCCTCGCGGCTTCGGCCCTCCGCCCTTTCCCGCCCTTTCCTCTCCCCTGCCCTTCCCCATCTCCATCCACACACGCATCCCATTCTCCATTCCCACTCCCACCCCTTCCCTCCACTCCCCCCCGCAGCCTCATCCGCTCCTCATTTTCATGATCCGCCTGCTCCTCCACTTGCTCCTCCTCCTTCTCCTCCCGTCCCCTCCCGTCCCGTTCCCTCCTATCCCCAGTTCTCACCGTTCCCCTCCCTTCTTCTCTACTCTCCTCTCGTCCCTGCCGGCTCTCCACGTCCCCTTCTTCCTTCGTCTCCACATTTCCCTCTCCCCAGTGCATTCCTTTGCAAGTGCGAGAACCACCTGGATATCAATACGGATAACGTGCATTCAGCTGCGGCTGCAATTGGTACCACTATGAAATCGCCAGAACCATGAGGAGAACCTGCGCCCTGCTGCAGATTGGCTGGCACTCGGCTGCAGAACCATGCGTGCAACTATGTTTCGGACCCGGAGAAGGCGTGGCTGACCGTGTGTGGGCGGTGTGCACCTGATTCAAGTTAGATCCACATGTATAGGTGATCGGCATGTAGATACCGTTTCGTGTACATAATTAGTTGCACATTTGGTCATCCTCCGCCGTTCAGCACATATCACCACTACTTCGTGAATCGGAGGTGAGGGGGTGGGATCGAAGTGGAACGGACAGCCCCCCTACCAGGAAATCGATTTCGGTTTCGTGTTCGTGCGTGCCGTGCGTGCGGGCGAGGCGAAGCTGCGAGGGCGGGCCAGAAGAAAGTCTCCTCCGGCTGAGGCGCGGCCGGACCAAATGATTCCTGACCCGGGGCCGGTGCCGCGCGGTGTCCCGCCGGTGTCCCGCTTGAGGCTGAGGCGGGGCCGGACCAAATGATTCCTGACCGGGGGGCGGTGGCGCGCGGTGTCCCGCCGGTGTCCCGCCTCCGGCTGAGGCGCGGCAGGACCATGGGATTCCTGACCGTGGGCCGGTGGCGCGCGGTGTCCCGCGGGTGTCCCGCTTGTGTCCCGTCGGTGTCCCGATGATGATGATGATGATGATGATGATGATGATGATGATGATGATGATGATGATGATGATGATGATGATGATGATGATGATGATGATGATGTTGACGATGCTGATGATGATGATGTTGATGCTGATGCTGATGGTGATGGTGATGGTGATTGTGATGGTGGTGATGATGATGGTGTCCCGATGATGATGATGACGATGATGATGATGATGATCGCCATGGTGGTGATGATGATGGTGTCCCGATGGTGATGATGTTGATGATGCTGCTGTTGCGGATGATGATGATGGTGTCCCGATGGTGATGATGATGACGTTGATGATCACGACGATGTTGATGATGATGGGATGATGAAATGATGATGATGATGATGGTGATGATTGTGCCCCGATGGTGATGATGATGAGGTTGATTTTGATGCTGTTTATGATGTTGCTGGTGATGATGATGATGGTGTCCCCGTGATGATGATGTTGATGATGATGACGATGATGGTGCACCGATGATGATGATCCTGATGACAAGGATGATGATGATGATCATGATGATGATAATGAAGAAGTGATGATGCGGATTTTGAGGATAGTGGCCCGATGATGATGCTGATGTTGATGATGATGGTGTCTCGATGATGATGATGATCATGATGATGATGATGATGATGGTGGTGACGATGATGATGGTGTCCCGATGATGGTGATTATGGTGTTGATGATGATAATGTTGCTGCTGATGAGGATGGTGTCCCGATAATGATGATGTTGATGAAAATGGTCATGGTGATGAGGATATGATGATGATGGTGGTGCTCCGATGATGGTGATGGTGTCCCGATGATGTTGATGAAAATGGTGAGATGGTGGCGGTGATGGTGTCCCGATGATGGTGGTGATGATGGTGATGATGATGATGTTGATGGTGATGGTGATGAGGTGATGATGATGATGGTGCCCCGATGATGATGATGATGATGATGATGATGATGGTGTTGTTGCCGGCGTTGATGATGCTGATATTGATGATGATGCTGATGATGATGATGATGACGTTGATTGTGAGATCGATTGTGATATCGATCGTGAAATCGATAGTGAGGCCGAATGTAAGATCGATTGTGAGATCGATCGTGAGATGGATAGTGAGATCGATTGTGAGGGTTCTTACCCTGTTCTCTTAAAGGGCCGGGCAGTGGTCCCTGCCCCGGGCGGTTCCCCCAGGATCCGCCCCGCGGTTCCCCCAGTGACTTTCCCTTAGCTTAGCGTTGCTTATCTCATCGTTGCTTCGCTTATTTCATCTTAGCTTAGCTCAGCTTCACCTTAGATCATGTTTATCTTAGCTTAGCTTACCTTCGTTCCCTGCCTAGGCTCTGCCTAGAAGGGTTCTTACCGTGTATGCTTAAAGGGCCGGGCAGTGGTCCTCGCCCCCGGGCGGTTCCCCCAGTATCCGCCCCGCGGTTCCCCCAGTGACGGCCCCTTAGCTTAGCGTTGCTTATCTCATCTTAGCTTAGCTTATTCCCTACCTAGGCTCTGCCCAGAGGGTTCTTACTTTGTTTGCTTAAAGGGGCCGGGCAGTGTAGGCCGCCCCGGGCGGTTCCCCCAGTCCCCGCCCCGCGGTTCCTCCAGTTGCGCCCCCTGGGTTCACCCAGCTTAGCTAAAAAGCTGAGCTAAAGCTAAGCTAAAGCTAAGCTAAAGATAAGCTAAAGCTGAGGTAATGCTAAGCTAAAGCTAAGGTAAAGCTAAGCTAAAGCTAAGCTAAAGCTAAGCTGAAGCTAAGCTAATGCTCAGCTGAAGCTAAGCTAAAGCTAAGCTGAAGCTAAGCTAAAGCTAAGCTAAAGCTAAGCTAAAGCTAAGCTGAAGCTAAGCTACAGCTAAGCTGAAGCTGAGCTAAAGCTAAGCTACAGCTAAAGCTAAAGCTGAATATAAAGCTAAGCTAAAGCTAAGCTAAAGCTAAGCTGAAGCTAAGCTGAAGCTACGCTAAAGCTAAGTTAAAGCTAAAGCTAAAGCTGAAGCTGAAGCTAAAGCTAAGCTAAAGCTAAGCTGAAGCCAAGCTGAAGCAGAGCTAAAGCTAAGCTAAAGCTAAAGCTGAAGCTATGATAAAGCTAAGCTAAAGCTAAGCGAAAACTAAGCTAAACTAGGCTTGGCAACGCTAAGCTAAGTTAAGCTAATATGAGCTAAGCTAAGCTAAGATGAGATAAGCTAAGCTAAGCTAAGCTAAGCTAAGGTAAGCCAAGCTCAGATAAGCTAGGCTAAGCTAAGCTAAGACGAGATAAGCTAAGCTAAGTTAAGCTTAGCTTAGCTTAGCTCAGCTTTAGCGTAACTTTAGCTTAGATCGTAACTGTCGCTGTAGCTTAGCTTTAGCTTCGCTTTATTGTTACTACGAATGCTGCTTTCCTAGGGGCTCTCACTCCTAGGTAGGGTCGCACTGGGATGATGATATCGATAATAAGATCGATAGTGAGGCCGAATGTAAGATCGATTGTGAGATCGATCGCGGGATCGATAGTGCGATCGATTGTGAGATCGATAGTCAGCTCGATAATGAGGCCGGTCAAATGAAATAGATCGAGTGAGACCGATTTTGATTTCGATCGAGTGAGATCGATCGGGCGAGACAGATAGTGATATCGATAGTGAGATCGATAGTGAGACCGATCGAGTGTGACGTTGGTTCCCCCCCCGAACCTCCTTATCACCCGAAAGGGTGGTCGTATAGGTATTGCCCACACTTGCGCTCTAGTTTGGGAACTATGCCGCTACCTGCGCCCATTGCAGTTGTATGAAAGCGGGCAACAACCAACACCTTGACATGCTCGTGATATTTTTACACAAGCACAAACAGTAGCACGCATAGACATGTGAGCACGTACGCCCGAGAGTTTCTGCACATGCACGGGCGTGGCACAATTTGCTTCACATGTGGAGCTTCATTACGAGCCACTACAGGCTTGGAAGCAGTTTTCCTTACGGCACACGAAGTCCCCCAAAACAACAGAACGACAAACGAAACCTTCAGCGCCCAACGCCGTCCGCCTCAGCGGACATGTGGTCCGAACGCCTCCCCCAATACAATTCTAAACGAGCTCGCGTCCGGGGGGGGGGGCCTGGGGTGATCCACTCCTTCAATTGGAATGTTATTAAGGAGAGTGGGTGGAGCATGATTTGGGCGATTCTGCTTGGGACGTCCTCAAATTCCGCCTGGTTTGGGCATTGGTTTGGCCTGGATTGGCCTGGTTTGTCTTGGTTGGGCGGCGCAAGCCGCCTGAGTCATCCTCCGAATGTGCTTGGGTTGGCCCCTGGTTTGGCCTGGTTTGGGCTCGGATTCGCTTGAGACGTCCTCGCAATTCCGTTTGGACCTGGTTTCGCCTGAGACGTCCTCGCAATTTGTTTGGTTTCGCTTGGTTTCGGCGCGGTTTCGCTTGAGACGTCCTCGCAATTTGCCTGGCTTCGCTTTGGTTTCGCCTAGTTTGGGCCTAGTTTCGCTTGAGAGCGCACGTCAACGTCGTCGTCGTCGTCGTTGTCGTCGTCGTCGGCGGCGGCGGCGTCGTCGTCGTCGTAGTAGTCGTCAAAATCATCGTCGTCGTGGTGGTCGTCGTCGGCGTCGTCGTCGTGGGGGGGGGCCTGGACGCTCCGAGACACATTGTATCTTGTCATATGGTGCAGGGAAACGAAGGAATCATTCATTCACACACGTGGTGGGCTTAAACATTCGGAACGTGATGGCCCCTGGGCGTTCCCAAGACACAGTGGGTGTTGCCGATGCGTGTATGACAGTGAACTGACATTTCACACACGTCGTGGCTGTAAACACGCGAAACAGGACGGCGTGGACTGAACACACATACTGGTCAACATTCTGCTCTGTTGTGCTACAGTATAGCAGGGCAAGTGGGTGTGGACATCCGAAGCGCAGTGTGTTCGGCAATGGTATCACACCGCGCAGTAATATCTTACTTTTCTCCTGTTTTGCGGCATTGGAACACGTGGCGGCGTTAGGAGAAAACCTTCGCCAACCTGTAATTCCCGTTACGATTGCGATATCTAATAGTTAACGGCAGCCAATCACACATGCCCAGGGTCTTCGTCTAGAGACCCATGGGCCTCCTTCTCGAGGCCCAGAGGCCTCTTCGGGACAACTTTCATAAGTGTGGGGGGAGTACACCAGGAAATTCTCCGCACACGCAATGCATCTACGGACGAAATTATCCACCGAGAAACGTACCACGTCATTAGGGAACGAATGTGTTTCATCCCCCCGCCTCTCTCCTCCAGCCCACCTTCCCCCTCCCCCCCTCCTTATTCCCTCCTTCCTTATCGTCCCCCCTCCCCTGCCACGTTCCTCCGTATTTCTTCAATGGTCACGCCACCTTTAAGGATGAGTTGATGTACCTTTCATGAGCTTGTAGCGAGCTTGGTAATCCTCCCCTCGTCCCCTCGTTTCTTCGGAGGCCGGGGTGTACACCATCGTCGCGAGGTGGGGCTGCCTGGCGTGGCCGTGGTTCTTTTTGGTCAGTGGTTTCAGCAACTCGTTCTCGAAGATGGTTGGGCGGACGCCCGACGCTCAAGAGGATTGGTTCTCCCGCGATGCCGCGGGCTGACGAGGATGATCAGGACAAGGACGACTGGCGAGGGCGCGTGGGGGCGGTGCCAGCTAGCGAGTGTGGCACGGGTGCGTTCCTATGCCAGACAGCATGGATGAGGAAGAGGAGGAAGAGGAGGAAGAGGAGGAGGAGGAGGAGGAGGAAGAGGAGGAGGAGGAGCAGGAGTAGGAGCAGGAGGACAGGATGCGTGCATGATGCTGCAGCCAGCCCTCCCGTCTCATGTTCCGTCCTCCTAAGTATTTGCACGCCGCCCTTCTCACCACGGAAAGCGCCCCCTTGAAAGACGAACACCCTTTGCCTGCCATCCCGGCGAGAGCCCATTGCTTTGGAACCGATGTGCCCTTCGTCTTCTTAGCGGTAAGGAACGCGATGGGGTAGGATCACACATCTCTAGGGAAGTGTCCAGCGATAGCCCTCTTTTAAACAGGAGCCGCCCTTCATCCCTGTAGTGGCACGAGCTCGCACTTCTAATACCAGTTGTCTAGGGTGTCTCGGGCGAGGGTACCGTTTTGACAACGAGACGGCCTCCATCCTCGTAAGTGTTGCACATGTTCCGCTTCCCCCCAACGTGATTCCCATCATTCTGGAAGTAATGCACCATACGTGACGCAATCTATGTGGTACAAACTGTGTGGCGCAGCTCGTCCTGCCGAACTTGACACCGCTGCTCGCGCAATCGTCCCACCCGCCCACCCGCAACTTGGTTTGCACAAGCCATGCGGCGGCCATTGTGATGACTTCTCGGCGCTGGCTGGCGCATCGCTGTGGCCGCGCTAGCGCGCATGCTCGTGCGCGCAGCGGCCAGCTAGCTTGGCGCGACCGGCGCGCCCGCGGTGGCGCTGACCGTTGGGCACTGCCCAACGGGCATTGCAGTGCGAGTCGGCGACGTGGGCAGGCGCGGTATCATGGCAACGTCGACGCAGGTAGACACGATTATCGTAGTCGCGGTGATGGTGACGATGATGACAACGACGATGACAAGGCCAGCGACGGCGCCGATGTTGATCACGCCGACGAAGAACACGGCGTCTTCGCGTCGGTGGTGAAGCTTTTGGAAGGAGTTCGGCATGCGCGCGCGGCCGACGCGCGAGAGTGGCACGCATGACATTTTTTCTCACGGATCGTGTCTCCCCAACGTGCGCGCGAAGGCGTTCGAATGATTTCGACATGCGGAGCGAGAGGCCCGTTTGGGAACAAATAGATGTCATTGCTGAAAAAAAAAAAAAAACGTTCGTTTCTGGAAAAAACGTAGTAGCGCGGGCCCGGGCACTTTTTGTACTGATGTTGCAAACCCGTGTGTCTTGGTGCGTTTCCTGGTACAGTCGATTCGGAAACCTTTGCGAACCCCCTGGTTTTTTAAAGGATTGCCGCATGCGCGCGTGACGGCGCGCGCGCGTGTGCACTTCGTTTCGTTTCGTTTATTTTTGCGTGGGATCCTTGCGAGAGCACGCGCGCAAGGGCGTTTCAACGATTTTGACATGAGCGCGCGCGATGGCACTCGACCTTCAAGAAATCCTTACGGTGCCTAGTGTTGTTGCGCGATTGTGGTATGCGCTCGCGACGACGAGCGCGTATACGCTTGTTTTCTGCTGTTTTCCCCCCTTGTTCCCCCCCCGCAAGTGTGTTCTTGTTTTTTGATCGGCGGGTTCCCGCGCATAATATCTTTTGTTATGCGCAGGATGTGGGGGCGATCTCGTTTAGCTGGGATAATACGGACTCACGTATCTATCGGATGGACGATGAGGTATGATCATAAGTAAATTACAGTACGCGAAGGGGAGTCGTTAAGTCCACGGGGGGTGGGAGGGGGTAGATCCTGAATTTTTCCACACAGGACAATCTATACGCGGCTGCGACGGGCGGCGACGAGGTGGCGAAGGGCGGCGACGAGCGGCGCTGGGGCGGCGACGGGGCGACCACAAGCCGGTTGGGGCGACAGGCCAGCCCATACGGGCGGGGGCGACGGGCGGCGACGAGCGGCGACGGGCGGCGACGTGGTCACCATAGGACGGCCGAAGCGGCAGACCAGCCAAGCGACGCTGGGCGACGAGCGGCGACGGGGCGACCACAATCCGGCCGGGGCGGCAGACCTGCCCAGACGAGGCGGCGACGGGCGGCAACGAACGGCGACGGGGCGGCGATGGGGTGACCACAAGCCGGCCAGGGCCAGCCCAGTTCTTCGTATACAAATAAAGACCCCCAAGTGCAAACACCGTTTGGGGAACATCGTGAGGAGGTCGCCAGATCAATCACGATTTTGGACAGGATGCGCCATCCATTCTTCAAGCTGCGAAAAGCTTACGACTGACGTGCGAGGTACGAAGGCGATAGCCACATGTTGAAATTTACGCGTCCTCCTCTCGTTAGATGATTGAGGTGTTGAAGACGAATGCGGGCGCCGTAAGGGCGAGAGCAACCTGTTGAACAGTATAGGCTCTCCATATGTTTACCGGTTGGAATATGGTTGGGCGAGCGCAAGAGGCGCCAAGGCAAAACTGCATTCTGGAAGCCACCCGCCTGCTCTCTCCGATGGGCCCCAAGAACACCTCCCCTGTATAGTTGCCATCGAAAGAGAAGGAGGCACGCCACAAGGGTACAAGGCACAGAGGCGCCAGCTAGTCTCCCGCCAGCGCCAGGAATATCCTGGAGGGAATCACGGCAGGACCACATCGGGCCTGCCTCGCTCACTCCTAATCCTATCCAAACCAGGGGAAAGAACACACCCCGCGGCCGTCCCACTGGCGGCAGCCCCACGGACCACCACGACACCAGCTTCTCTAGCCGAGCCTAGCGTTATTGCGGCCGCGCACCGCCGTAGGCCGAATGAGCCATTGCTCCTCGGCGATGCTCCAGGGCGCCTGTATTCGAGATCATTGACAGCCTGTGGCGAACATGTCGAGCCCCCGCCATGGCCGTGCACGTGATCTCAGACTGCTACAACATATCCAGCCTGAACTTTGAGCCCACCAGCCCGTGGACCAAGCTAGCGTTCCCAAGCAAATACTATTCGACGGATTCGCTTCTTGAGCTTCTCCTTCACGACATTCGCCTTACGCACTTGGAACTCCTTCTCCGACTGGAGCGCTTCCTCCTGGATCCTGGAGGCTGATCGTGTGGCAACCGAGCATCTGCATCTTCAGGACCTGTGGCGGATCCCGCAGGGCGGCATCGTAGCCAGCAGTTCAGCAGCATCGGGATGGGCCACTGGCACCCTGCAAAGCCGCATGCGCTGACCCCCAGCACCTGCGACGAAGGCGAGAGGGACCATGGTTAGGTCACCTGCGACGGAGGCGAGAGGGACCACGGTTAGGTCACATCACTTGCGACGGAGGCGAGAAGGACCAGGGATAGGTCATTGGACGCTGCGGCATGCCGAAGCGCCTTGCCATCCACCAGCATGTCCTCGCACACCTCCAGCTTCTCGTGAACGTTCTGGCGCAGCTGCTGAGTCTCCGCACTGGGACGCCTGACAGTCGCCTCGAGCTACCGCACATGCTCCGCCACTGCAGCAAGGTCGTCGACCGAGTGCGCTCGAGTGGGAAACGTTACCACGACCTTAGGGCGAGGTGCCCCTGGAGTCGACGCGTTATACCTTTCGAGCGGATAGGGAAATGACATTATACCCAAGGTTGGCACCGCCGCTCTACGGTCAAGGTGCCGCTCGCCACCACGGTGAGAGACTCGGCCGCGCAGAATCCCCGCTTCCGTCACACTGGGAGTCGCTTGCGGCGACGGGCGGAGCTCGAGGCTGGACGTCGCTCCTGTCGCAACACCAGCCCCGTCGTGGCCTGCCGCCTCGGCTGACGCCCTCCGCTAGCGGGCACCACCGACTCCAGCAGCTTGGGCATAGGCTCGTTGCGAAACTCCGCGGAGCGCCGCTGCTTCCCGCGCGGCGCGTTCGCAGCCCCGCGGCGGCTTCGTGGCGCCGTCGCCGTCCACCCTCACGGAGCCGCATCGGCTGCCGTGCGCATAGCAGGCAGGCGGCGATGCAGCGGCACCCGCCGTCAGCTTGGCCAACGCGTCGGGGCAGCCCGCCTCGCCTCGCTGCGCTCGACTGACCGAGCGCTGCGGCACGGCGCGCACGAACGCGGCTGGCAGCGCAGGCTGATGGCTCACCACATGGCCCCGCTGCACGTCCAGAGCGCTGCCGGGCGTGTTCTCGAGGCTTGCCTCGAGGGTCGGGCGCCATCAGCGCCAGCCGCTCCACGAGCTCGGCCGACAAGGCCTTCCGCTCGGGATCGCCAAGCTGGACTACTGCGGCCGTCGGCTCCACAGACCTTGAAGCCGCCCGCGCGTGTCGCGGGGCGGCCTGCGGGTGCCCGCACTGCGCCTCCAGCGCAGCCGCCTGCCTCAGCGCAGCCTCCAAGCGCCGAGCCGCCGCCTCGTGGGCAGCCGCATGCCGCGGGGGCGCCGCGGCCTCGGGCTGCTCCGCCGCCCAAGGGGCGACCGTGCAGCTGGCCGTAGCTATCCGCCGCTCAGCGGCCTCGGCCTCGGCACCGTGCGCCCTTGCCTTTGTAACTGGCGAATAAACGTGATCACGCGGATGTTTATGGAAGGAGAAGGAGGAAGAGGAGAGGGAATGGGAGGGGGAATAGTAGCACCAGGGATTCAAGGGAGATGATGAAATGCAGGCGGAAGTGGTGGAGGCGCAGGTGGTGGAGGGCTGAGAGTCTCCCAGTCACCATTGGAGGCACGCGTCTCCGCTGGCGGGATACACCTTTTGTTGTTTTTCGCCGCCTGTCGAGGTTCCCCGCCATGATCAAGCGCGTCGCTACGTGGTACCCGTTCTACGCGATCACCCTCGCTGTGTGTGCGGCCCAGGCGTGGACGATCACCGCGGAGGATTGGTCCGAATACCTGGCCCACACCATGCTGGTCAGCGGTGTCATTTGGAACGAGCAGTCCTTCCCTAGGTCGATGGTTGGCCAGTGGCTGTCCTACTTGACGGTCTACATGATGGTCTGGTCTCCAATGTACCAGGTGTCAGGGGAGTAGTAAAGTGAAGGCGCAAGGGGGGTGGGGGGGCTCCGTGTCCTCTCCTCCAGTCTACTCACCTCGTGCCTCCCTCCTCCCTCCCCCTACCCTGGCGCGATCAAGTCTACGTCGAACGTATGAAGTACTCCCTCCTCGCAGGTCTTTTACTCCAGCACGAACTCAGTCATATGGACTTTGTTCACGATGTCCTGCCTGATCGTCATCCCCTCGGCGATCCTCCTACCGATGCTTCACATCCTCTTTCTCCCCACTTCTTCTGCCACCTCGGTTCGCATTCCCCCTCCTCTTCGCCCCCCATCGTTACCTGTTTCTGATGCGGCTCCGTCCGTTCCTTCCTCCATCCCTCCGTTCCCTCCTCCTCCCTGCCTGTTCTCCTGCCTGTTCTCCTGCCTGCCTGCTCCTGCCTTCCTTGCTCCTCCGTCTCCCTGCCAGCTCCTGCCTGTTCTCCTCGATGTCCTGACTGCTTCTCCCTTCTCCTGCACGCTCCCCCCACTCTTCGATGTCCTCCTCCTTTTCTTCCTCCTCCTCCTCGTCCGCTTCTTCATCCTCCTCCTCCTTCACCTCCTCCTACCCCACCCCCCGCCCCCTACCTGCTGCCTGCGCGTCATCCCGTCGGCCGTCATGGAGTGGTTCTTCTTCGCCGACGCCCCGCTGCTTGCGCTGATCCAGTACTGGCCAACCTTTTGTTTCGGCCAGGCTCGGGCCTGCGAGCATGACGGTGTTGTTCACGACCAGCATGACTAACACGGCTATTAAGACAGGATGTCAGAGATGTTAGTATTAAGCTGGCGAGTGATCATGTCGATGCTGATGATTGGCGATATTGATATTGTTGAGGATGTTGATGTTGATGTTGATAATGACGATGATGTTGATGATGGCGATGATTATGATGGCGATGTAGATGATGATGATGAGGAGGAGGAGGAGGTGGACGATGATGATGATGAGGAGGAGGAGGAAGGGGCTGATGATGATGATGATGATGACGATGATACTGATGATGGTAGCGATGGTGGTAACGTTAATGCGGGGGATGACGATGACAATGCTAATGATGAAGATCATACTGACGCTGACGCTGATGCTGTTGATGACGATATCGAACACGATGCCAGGGATGATGATGATGATGATGATGATGATGATGATGATGATGATGATGATGATGATGACGATGCTTATGATGATGATGATGTTGTTGTTGTTGTTGATGATGCTGCTGCTGCTGATGATGATGATGATGATGCCCGGGCGTGCGGGGAGCACCGGGAGCTTTTCCCGTGCGCTGCTCCGCGGGCCTCTTCCCCCTCCCCTGCCCGCTGTCCCCTGTGCGTCCCTCCTGCCTTGCCTTGTCTGTGGCTCTTGGCTCCCCCCTCTCCTCTCTCCCTCTCCGTTTCCTCTCCTTGCCCTTGTGTTTCTTGGCCCTCGTGTGCGCGCTCTCCCTCTCCCTCCCTGCTTGGCTTCCCCTCCCCGTCCTCCCGTCCGTCCGTTTGTCGGCCCGGTCTGTCCTTTCTTGTCGCCCTCCCTCCCTCTCCCCCTCCTTTTCTCGCTCCTCGGCTCCTTGCTCTCCTGCCGGTTTCTTGTCCTTGCCTGGCCCGATTTCTTTGGCGCCTGTTGTACGTGTGGGTGGACATCTCAAGATTGTCTGGGTCAGGGGCACTCGCCCGCAGACTTGCTTGTTTCAGAGAGATGGGTCCAGCCATATTCTGACGCGAATGCGACCTTTTTGGAAGAGCCGCCGAGGCCCAACCATACGTAGTTGTGAGTAACGCAGTTGATGCTGCTGATGATGCTGATGATGATGACGATGATGCTGTTGCATATTTTGTTGCTGACGGTGCATCGTAAGGCGATTATAAGTTTGATGATGTTGATGCTGATGATGACGATGATGCTCGCACTGCTGATGACACTGAATGTGCTGATGTTGATGTTGATGCTGATGCTGGTGATGATCATCTTGCTGCTGACGATGTTGCCGATTCTGCTGATGCTGTTGACGAGGATGGCACTGGCGATGACGATGTCGGTGATTCTAAATATGCTGATGATGCGGCTGATGTTGATGAATATCTGAGGATGAGATGTTGATGCTGTTGATGATGATGCCAACGGTGATGATGATGATGTTGATACTGATGATGACGATGCTATGAGCCCACAGACTCGGGGACTGTGCTCGCACTGTCGCAGGGTTTGTGGGCTGGCACGAATGCTGCCCCTGCGTCTGCCCCGCTCCCCTTCCCTCTCATCGTCCTTGGGGCTGGGGGAGGGTCGGGGTGCGGCGGGGCCGTGGGTGGGGGAGGGATGCTGGTGCTGCTCTGCTTGTGCGGCTGCCGCTTCTGTTCTCTTGCACTCTCTTGTCCGCGGTCCGCCCATGTGCGGCCGCTGGCCTGTTGGCTAAGGCTGTGGGTTCTGGCGGGCACGTACCCCGCCGCGTTGGACCACGGCATCGTGGTGCGGGTGGTGTTGGGGCGGCCTCGTGGGGCCTGTCCGTGCGCGTGCCCCACCCGCCCGCGCCCTGGGGGTTCGTCGCGCCCCTGGCGTCTCGGGCGTCGCTGCGACGCGCGTCAAGGCGACGCCCGGGACGCCGCACCCCATGTCTGGGGAGCGGCGTTCCCTTGGGCCGCGGAGCGGGCCTCGGTATCCCTCTGCCCTCCCGCGGCGCGTGGGGCAGGCATTTGTGGATGACCACGATGATGATTGGGAGCTGAGGCTGGCGATGAGGAGGATGCTGTTGCTGATGATGCTGATAAGGATGATGATGTTAATGCAGCTGGCGATGAGGGTGATTATGATGATGCTGATGCTGATGATGATGATGGTTTTGACGATGATGACCATGATGCTGACAACGATGACGCGACGATGGTGACGAATATGAGTTTGAGGAGGAGGAGGAGTAGAAGGAGGAGGAAGATAATGAGGAGGAGGAGGAATAGGTATAGGAGTAAGACTCCTCGGATTAGTCGAACACCTCTGGCACTGTGACAGCCCTAGGCGGCCAGCCTCGATTGGTATTGCAACTGTTTCCAGTATGCCTCACACCTCCTTTCTATCCTAGTCTCTTGCACCCCGTTTCGACTACAGTATGTTCCTTACCTCAGGGCCTCACGATTTCGTCGACCAACCCAGCTTGGCATCGGCGCGAATGAGGCCGTCCAGCTGCTGCAGGAATACTATTTGATCAACATACGCAGCACCATCTCCACGCTGCACACTAACTACCTCAAATGCACCACATCGCACAACAACCAACGCCACACTCACGGCAAGCTGCCGCAATAGGAGCACCATAGGGGTCAACCGCGAGTGGTTTGGGAACTACGCCACCACCCTGGATATCAACATCGGGCCGCTCTCCAAGCAAAGGGGCGACGCCACTCCCTACCCCCACAGGCGATTGGAGCAGGCCCCGGGCGCTGGAATAATCAAAGTGGGTGGAGCATCGGGCCAATGATTGTTCCGACCCCTACTGCAGCAACGTCTATAAACGCAATGCTACCAACAGCAAGGTCAAGGTAAGCCCCCCGAAACCCTACGCCGACGGCAACGAGCTTGAGACCCGCCACCAGAATGGCAAACACAATTGGGAACAACAAGGGCAAGGCCGAGGCGCAACCCGAACAAGACAACGCGCCCCAAACAAGGACATCACCCAGGATTGCAACGACCACATCGTCAACGCGATCATCGGGGTTATGCCGACGCGGAAGGTCTACGCGGTTCGAAGGTCGCATTCGGAGTTGCCACCCAACAACGCCGAGCTCAGAGACGATTTGAAGAAGGTCAAGTTCGCCGAACAGAGGCGATCAGCCACAGCCATCACGAAAGACAGTGCTCCAGGACTACCCAGTACAGAGTGATGAACGAGCGGTGGCTGGTCAACCACTGATCGGGTGCATGCGAGCGCTTGACACGACACGCCGCCCAGGACACCCCGCACACTCACAATCGTGCATCCTGGGGACTGCCACCCGAAATACACTGATGAGAAGGACTCGCGCGAGCGTCGTGGAGCACGACTACCCCTCTAATACCGCCCCATCGGCCAAGAACGAAGTAATGGACACAGCGCTGCGTTCGGCCCTGCACGCCGACGCAGCACGAAGCGCGCAACTGCATATCTGGGAATCTTGGAATCCAGCCTGGGTTGCCGCCGCTCTCCAGTCCACGCGGCCAATCCCCAACTCTTTGTTTGCGTTGAAGTGGTATCTTCCTGGTTTCGGGGGGAGCGTCCCCCCCGCCACCAGGAATTTCCGTGCCCCGCCCTGCTCCTGATTTGTTCATGGCACAGAGGTTGGCATCCGCAGCCGCCGAATGCCCTGGCCGTCTTTGTTCCGTGATGTCGTGGTTGGGGCCATGATACTTCCACGGATGTAACAGTTCCCGTTTTTTGTTCGATGTGTCCCGTGGTCGTTCCGTCGTCCGTGCATACATTTCGGGCCATGATTTGCGAATCCCCCGTCTGGGACGCGATCAGGAGGAAGAGGATGAGGAAAAGGAGGAGGAAGAGGAGGAGGAGGAGGAGGAAAAGGAGGTCGAAAGTCGAAAGGATAGTCGCTTGCCCCGGGCAGGCCTTGGCCACGTGGCTCGTGCGCAATTGCTACGAGCAGAGGGCGCCTGGACAGCCGTGGGTGATTAGTTCAGAGTTCAGGGGTGGCATAGCGTCGGTGGAGTGTCAGAGAGAGAGAGAGAGAAACAGAGAGAGTGAGAGAGAGAGAGGCGGAGGAGAAAGAGGAGGAGGAGGAGGAGGAGGATGAGGAGGTTCATGTTTGACCAGCGTCGGACAAACCAAAAGGAATATCCGCGGAGGAGGAGGAGAAACGGGAGGAGAACGAGGACGAGGATCAGGATGGAGATGTATTCCTTGTCTCTGTCTCTTCGTCTCCGCCTTCGTAGTGTGTGAAAACCCCGGTCTGTAGGACCCGGCCGGCGCAACTCCTCCAGCCCCGTGAGCGGCCGCTGCTTGGTGGCCAGACTCATTGCCCGGGCGCTGGGCAGCGGCTGTTCGGTGGGGGGCCAGTGCTGTGAATTGGGGGGTTGCGCCGGCACCTGTGCGCAGGGACAACGTTCCACCAGAGGAGAAGAAGAAGAAGGTCGAGGAAGAGGAGGAGGAGGAGGAGGAGGCGGTGGATGCGGAATAGATCTAAACGAATGGCCTTCGGCCCATCTCGCCACCGTACGTGGTTGTGGGCATGAAGCCTACTGGATGTTCGTTGGGATCTCGTGGGAGGCTCTCTCGGGGGACTCCCGGATGCAGTTTGGAAGCCTCTTGGGGGCTGTTTTGGGGCTTCTTCGGGGCCGTGTTGGAGCCTCTTTTGGGCCTCGGGGGCCTCCTGGGAAGGCTCGGATTTTTTGGTTCGTGTTCCCTCTCTTGGGTCCCTCTTGGGGCCGTGTTGGGGCCCTCGTGGGCCGTCTTGAGCGCCTCTTGGGCCGCCTTGGGGCCCTCGAGACCCTCTTGGAGGCCTCTTGGGCCTTCTTGGGGCGGTCTTAGTGGCCTCTTGGGCCGTCTTGGAACGTCGGGATGCCGAAAATGGCGAGAAGGCAACAAACCTTCAACAACCTACGGAAATCAATGGTTTGTGCCTCTTGTGGCCCTGTTGGGAGGCCTCTTGAGCGGCTCTTGTGCCTCTTGGATGTCTCTTGGGGCGTCTTGCAAGCCACTTCTGCCGTCTTGGGGCCATCTGGAGCGTCATGGAACGATCGCTCGGCGATTCAGGGCCCTCTTGGACCGGTATCGGGGCCTCTTGGGGCCCTCGTGGGCCCCAACAAGTTATGCGACAAGCCGAGGGGCAGCCCTGGGGAACTGCCGCAAGCCCAGGGCGCTTTTGGAAATTCGGGTCTGGGGTCTTCAAATATTCCTTAGGACTCAGCGGAGGCTCAGGGATCAGGCAACGGACCTGAGGACACGCCCACTCCGTGCCCAGAGGCACGGAGGCGGATTGTAAAGGCTTCCTGCCTGTGCCGTCGATCCGGGATGATCCGGGACGCTCCGTGCGAATTCGTCCTGCTTAATCGCTTGTGAGTTTCACCTCGAGGAGAAAGGAGGGGGGATTGAGGAGGAGGAGGAGGAGGAGGAGGAGGAGGAGGAGGACGAGGAGGGAGAAAAGGATGAGAAGGAGGAGGAGGCGGAGGAGGAGAAGGAGGAAGGGCAGTTGTTGGCAGTCGCTTTAGGCAGTGTGTGTGTGTGGAATGGAATGTTTGCGTCGTGTCCGTCTGTCGAGCTTGATGGCGGGCTAGTTCCCTGACGGGTTGGGTCGTTGGGCTTGGGAGCTCTGGCCCTGGCCACAGCCCTGGCCGCGACCCGAGCTCTGGCTCCCGCTCCGGCCCTGGCCCCAGCCCAGGCCCCGGCCCCAGCCCCAGCCTCGGCCCCAGCCCAGGCGCTGGCCCCAGCCTCGGCCCTGGCCACGCCGGATCGGCGGATGTTGTGCTCTGTGCGCAGTGCTTCCACGGTCGGCCGTTCGAGACCAGAGGGTGTAATTCAAGCAGAGGTGCAGCGCTTGGTGCCCTTTCGGTCTTCACCTCTGTCCCGTCCCTGCCTCCTGCTTCAGGCGAGCGCGGGCGCTCGCGTCGGATGGCAGGGGCCATCTGGATTGCGAGGCTGCGGGCGGCTGGGCAGGTCACCCAGTTCTACTTCCTGCTGTGTCCAGCGTCGCCAGCGTGCCCGTCCCTGACTTGCTCGCAGCCGGCCGCCTGCACGCAGCCCGTGGCGTCTCCGCCGCGCGTGGCGCGCCACGCCAGCAAGTGCCCAGCGGCACTCGAGGCGGAGCCCTGCAACCCGTTGGGTCTCGTGGAGTTGGTCCTCTTCGTGCTGGGCGTGCTCGTCGGGGCGGGCTTCACGGGCGGCATTGTAGCGCTTGGTCTGACCGCTGGGCGGTTGGCTAGTGGCCGCGCCTCTCACAGTGTCGACCATGGCGGACAGGGCGGAGGCGGTCGAGATGGCGTGGGTGCGCCATCGAGTGGGCGGAGCCGTATTATACCATCATAGATTGCTCTTGAGGCGGCTCAGGTCGTCGGACGATGCCTGGGTGATCCTCACCCCGACGGAGACTTGGTGGTTAGACCCGACATCCGCGAGGTGATGTGGGATAACGTGCCGGTGTCCACCTTCCGCAGGTGCGTGGTCGAGGCTACCGCTTCGGCCAGGTGCCTCACGGAGATCGGCTGCGTCGGTCGGGCGAGCAGGCGGCGGCGATGCGGGGCCAGGAGGACGACGCCCGCGGGTGGCGCGCGGCGTGGGATCGCGTCGGCGGCTTCGAGCCGATCGAAGGACCTCCGGCCCCGAGGTCCGCCGCGCCGCTGTCGCGAACCGCCGAGCCCGCAGTTCCTCCTAGTCGCTGGGTCGTGGCCATGGAGAGCGACGGCACTCGGGTCCTGCCTCGGCGCAGGTGTCTGCTGACTCGCGCATGGGCTTGGCGCTCCTGCCGAGTGGCGCCTGGGTTTTCGTGGAGCGGCTCCTGCAGGGCGGGCTGTCGGAGGAGCGCCGCAGGCGCGCGGCGGGCCAGCGGGGCGAGGCCCGGGGCAGCCTCGACGCGCGCGCGCTGCCCGCGGCGCACAAGTCGTCTGGCGTGCGCCAGCGAAGGCGGCGTCAAAGATGTCCCAGGTGCCGTTCACCGACCGGCCTCTGCAGGGGGCGCGCGCCCCAGACCTCCTGCGGTAATGTTTTTTTTCGTGCGGATTGTTTGTAATGTTTTTTTCGCCTTGTAATGTTTTTGTTGTTTCACGTTTTGCTGTAATGATTTTGGTTTTTATATCCAACCATGCGCAAACGTGCATACATGCAGCCTTGAGTACATATATATATATGCGAAGATATACAGATGCATATGTCGATGTACGTATGTAATATTATATACATACGAGCGGCGAGAAAAAAAAAAAAACGGGGACGTCTGCGCCGCCATCGGCGCGTACAAGCTGACCGCGTAAAGGTCACGCGTAAGTGCCCTCGTTTCCACTGTGGCGCGTGGCGCAGGCGGTCCGCGCGAGCCGCTTGAAGGTCAAAGTGCCGTCTCGCGTATAAGACCCGTTTTTTTATATCGTCGTTCGGGGTGGGGCGTGGGCGGCGCGCGCCCAGCCGCGGGCTCGAGCGCTCGGCGCGCGCGCGCGCCGAGCGCGCGCGCGCGCGCGAGGGGCCGCGCGCGCGCCCAGAGGCGCGCTGCGAGGCGCGCGCAGAGGAGATGGGCAAGAGGAGAGAAAGAGCGAGAAGAGAAGGGTGGGCAGGATGCATCCTGCTCATCCTTCTCTTCTCCTCCTCCCCCTCCCCCTCCGCGATCCTCCTCGAGGAGGAGCGGGGGGAGGAGGAGGGGGATCGAGGAGGAGGAAGGAACTGCAGAAGGTTTGGCGCCCTAGCGTCCGATGGGGCAGGGACAGGGGGAGGGGGGTGAACAAGAGGACGATGAGGAGGAGCATCCAGGAGGTGCAGGAGGCGGAGGAGGACGAGGATCCGAGGAAGAGGGGGGGGGGGGGGGAAAGAGGAAAGAGATGCCAGGCCAGCGCTGATGCCGCCCAAGAAGCCAGAGAAGTGCATTCATACCAAGACGTCTGACGTCGACGCCGACGCCGTGGCCGACGTCTGAGGGGGAGGGAATCAGGTCCCCCCATCTCCCCCCCCCCTCCCTTCTCCCCGTTCTCCCGTTCCTCCGGCAAGTGCTGATCGAGCGCATCGCCTCCTCGTCTTCCCCCTCCTCCTCCTCATCCTTCCTCGGTGGAGGATGGTGGTGGTGATGTGATGATGATGCTGGTGAGGGTGATGCTGCTGATGAGGATGATGGTGATGATGGTGATGGTGATGATGGTGATGCGATGCTGATGCTGATGCTGATGCTGATGCCGCTGATGATGATGATGATGATGATGCTGATGATGATGATGATGATGCTGATGATGTTGATGATGCGCTGATGCTGATGCTGCGATGCTGATGCTGATGGATTGATGATGATGACGCGGAGGAGGAAGGAGGAGGAGGCGGAGGGGGAGGAGGAGGGGGGGGGGGGGGGTGGGGGAGAGGAGGAGAGGAGGAGAGAGGGGAGGGAGGAGGAGGAGGAGGATCGAGGAGGGCGCGGAATGAGGAATGAGGAGGAGGAGGAGGAGGAGGAGGATCGAGGAATCATTAGCAGGATGAGGAGCGCATAGTTCCGGACCTCCGCAGGTCCTCTGGAGCAGCTGGATCGACGACTGGCCTCAGCTCGGCATCGACGGGGGAGGCCAGGGGCAGGGGGAAATAGGAAGAGGAGGGGGGGAAGAGAAGAGGAAGAGGAAGAGGAAGAGATGAGACAACTGGACCCGAATGAGGAGCCGCATATTGAGGGGCGGGGGCAGGAGGGGGAAGCATAGGGGAGAGGATCGAGGCTGGGGGGTGGGGGGGGGGGGGGGGGGGGGGGGCGGACGGGGGCGGCCGCCGCTCGAGGCGCCAGACAGAGCAAGATTCTCCGACAGGCACAGGAGGAAGATAGGCTCCTCCCCCTTATCCTTTCCTATTCCTCCTCCTCCCCCTCCTCCTCCCTCCTCTCCTCTCCTCCTCCTCCTCCCTCCTCCTCCTCCTCTCCTCCTCCTCATCCCTTCTCTCTTCCCCCCCCCTCCCCCCCCCCCCCCCCCCCCCCCCCCCTCCCTTCCTCCCCCCCACCCTCCGCCTCGAGGGCCAGAGGCGCCAGAGAGAGATCGGACAAGTAGGCGGACCAGGGTCCGTCCGCGAGGCGCACTGCGGTGCGACAACTCGCAAGCACTATTAGCGGCGGTGCAGCCTTAAGATACGAGGGCGGGCTACAAAACCCCCTCCCCCGGCGCAGTGCGACTGACGCTACAGACGGCGGACAGACGATGAAGATCTCACCTGACAGACCGCGTGAGGTAAAAGGCCCCAACAAGAAAGGCGACGTGCTGGCACGTGGCTAGGCGGCTTGGCGGACCGCCAGTTGGGCGCTTGGCCGCTAAGCGGCGCGCAGTGACGGGGCACCCCCCGCCCCCACGCCCTGACACCGTGGACGCGGAGCCACACGTACACACGGGCAGGCAGGAAGGAGGAGATCAGCGCGGGGCACCAGGTGGAGCGCCGCGGAACGATGACAACATAGCTTGGATGTTGAGTGACGGCACGACACCATCGGGCGAGGTGGTGAGCAGCTCGGCGAAGGCTCGCCCAGCGCTATGGAGGCGCTGGAGTAGAGGACCTTGACGAGCTTGGGCAGCGGCGAGGTCCGCGGCGAGAGCTAAGCACTTCTGCTGAAGGGCAGCCATAGCCTGTGACAGCTCGGTTTCACGGTCGGTGAGAGGTGGCTGCTCAGTGACATCCGCCGAGGATCTCGAGACAGAGGCGAGGTCCTCGGTACGCCTGTCCAGGTGGGCTAGCGGCGTGCGGGACCCTGAATGCTGACGTCCGTCACCGTTAAAAGGTGACTGGAGGGGCCGGCGCGACCCCAGGGCTGGAGCCGCTAGGGCCGCGCCCCGAGAGGTCAGGGGAGCCGCTTCCTCTCGCTCAGCAACGGAGGAAGCGTGGGTGGGGCACGAGGGCCTGTCTGGTTTAGTACCCTGCGGGGGGGCTGAAGCCGCCCCCGCGGGTCGCTGACGATGGGAAGGTGAAGTGGTATGCACGGTGGGGCCAGTCGTGATGCCGTGCAAGGCCGCTGAGGTCGGTCGCGTAGAGGGTTGGTGACTCGGTGGGGCGGCATGGTCGGCAGCGTGTGGTGTCGGCGGTGCGTCCTCAATGCCACCCAATCCTCGGGGGGCACTCGGGTCGTGGTCGGCGTCCTGGCGGTGACCGATATCATCGTATGTGGGCGTTAACGCTCTTGGGGACGGCGTCGCAGTAGGGTTTGCGAGGTTTCCCGACGGGGCGGGGTTTTCGTTGGCTGGTCCGTCGTCCAAAGCGTCCGATCCCCCACCGAGGCTGAAAAGGTCATCGTCCTGCTCATCAGCGTCTTGAAAAGGAACGGCGTTGTCATGTGGGTGGGCTGACGCACTCAATGGCGGAGTCGGGGGCGCCGTGCGGGTGCCCGCCGGGGCAGGGTTGGCGCTGGCTGACTCGTCGCCCAGGAAGTCCAAACCTCCACCAAAGCCGAACGGGTCGTCCTCCTGTTCGTCGAATAACACCCGTTGGGCCTCGGCCCAGAGCTCGTCGGGGTTTTGTGGGATGTCTGGTCCAGCCACGGGTGGAGCCTGGTCAGACAGCAGGGGATTTGGTTCCATTTTGTTTAGTTCTGCAGCAGTGAACCCAGCCCTGCGGTGTGGGAGAGGAAGAGTACGATGTCTCCGCTCGTAGATGGCAACGGCGACTCCATGGAGCACGGTCGCTTGGCGGTGTCGTGCTTTGGCAGCTTCAACGATGTCGTCTGGAAGGTTATGAGTACGTGCCGCCGCTGTGGCGAGGGCGTCAGCCTGACGATTGAACTCCTCCGCGATGGGCCCGATGAGCCCGAGGTCGATGCCCGTGTCGCCCTGGTGGCTAGCGACTTTCTCTACGCGGAACATGTTTGGCTTGGCCATGACACATCGGTGGACCTTTTCCCAGAACTCCACGTGCGTGCCCTGCGGAGGTGAGTGTCCGTCGATGATCCTTTGGAAGCCGTCGACCACCGCCTGGTTGTCCACGAAGACGTGTACGGGCCGTTCAGCACATGCCGTGAGGTGGACAATGGCGAGGGTCTCCGCAAGCTGTGCGTTCTGCGTGATGCCGTGAACGCGCGCACTGTAGTTCATGCGGTGGTCGATGCCGTAGTAGACGCCGTAGCCCGCTCTTGCAAGCAAAGGGATGGCTTGGTTGGTGCATGCACCGTCCGTGGCAGCGTAGACCCATGTCCAACCAGTGTCGTGGTCAAGGTAAGTGGTGTAGGAGTCCTGGGCTGAAGCCGCAGGATCTCCCTCAGGCGGGGGCCGCGGTATGGGTTGAGGTAGCGGGTCCCTCGCGAGGTCGGCTTGCAGATCGAGGAGGGCTGGGTCCTCATCGAAGAGCCCGCAATGTCTTGTGTGCGGAGGAAGACGGGCCCACTGCTCGTCACTGATGAGGGTGGTGAGAGGGACTCTTTCACGGGCCCAGCACTTGCAGTCACGCACAGTGTGCTCCTGAGTTTCCTCTTCCTCATCACAGTAACGGCAAATAGGGCTGGGATCAGCGGACGTATTTGATCGAGAACGTCGCTGTTGGGTGTGGTCCCCGCCCGACAGGTAGTTTAAGAGGAGCGCCAGCTGCCATGCGTTGCATTTGGCAGCTCCTTTGGTGCGGGCGAGCCACGTGCTGGCGAAAAGGTCGAGGCCCTGTCTGACCGAAGCCAGGTGACCAAGGTCATGACGCCGTGGCTTGATTTTTCTGAGAAAGGCTCTGCGTTGCGAGGCGCGCAGCATGTGAAGGAAGGCGTTTTGGGGAAGGTTCAGCCAACTGATCTGACAGCCCCAGTCGTCGTACATGGTGCCAAATGTGGGCCAAGTCCAACGGAGCTGCTGAAGCGTCTGAACAAGTCGTCCAACAGGTCCTCCGCCAAAAAGGGTCTGGACATGGTGTTGGAGATCCCTGACGAGGCCGCAAAGAGTGGCGTCGCGGTTGACCTGTCGCCGCAGGCACAGGAAGACTTCACGCTGCATAATGGCGTCAATCTCCAGGGCGTGCCCTGGGACGCACACGGCCATGAGAGTCCAAAACTCGACCCACCTGTTTCCCTTGGGGCGGATAGCCGCCTTAAGGGCATGGTTGTAGGCAGTTTTGACGGGGCCTGATGGGGCTTGGATGTCAGTGCCCGTGGTACAGACGCTGGCAGCAAGGGAGCGGGCGCGCCGCGCCTTAATACGCATCGGAGATGGGAGCTTGCCAATACGCGGCAGGCGACTAGTCGCCCTGCGAACACGGGCGTCAGCGGTGGCCGTGAGGTTGAGCGCGGCTGGAGCCGGCGCTGCCTCGGCGTTGATGTAACTTCCGACGAGCTTGAAGGAGTCGACCACGCGTAAGGGCCGTTCCGCCAAGGTGAGCTGGGTAACGGCGGTGTGAAGCTCGTCAGTAAGCGCCCACCCCGCCACTTTTCCAGGATGAATGCGTTGACCAGAAAATCGATCAAACTTGGCGGTTTCATCAAGAGATTTCTGCAACTCGGGCGCGGTGTGGGTAGTGGAGTTGCTGTCGTCAACAAAAGTAGTGCTGAGTGACCGCGGCACGTAACGATGCTGTCTCTTGGTCCAGACGCACATGAGCAGCTTAATGTCGTCCAGGGACCAAGAGCTTCCCTGGAGGTGACCGTTTGTCCTGGCCAGTTCCTTAGAGTACGCACCGTTCATGCGGATGTAACGTTTGTGGCGCCTGTAGAAGTTTCTGCGGACAGTAACGATGTCTTGGGGACACCCCGCGTGAAGCGCGAGGTTAAGGCATATGTCCGTGATAAGATAGTCGAAACACTTCTGACGGTCCAGGGCAGCTCCAGCCAAGGGAAGGAGAAGGGCTCTGGCGTGTTCGATGCGAAGGGCGAGAGAAGTGCTGACGTCCCCAATGGTAGCTTTGGGGACAGCGCCAAAACTCGTGGCGTGGGTCCATCCTTTCCGCCATTCCGTGAGGCTGCGGTAAGCTGGTGCTTCCCACGCGTACATCCAAACGGAAAGCACCGAGAGAAGTCGTTGGTCCGTTGGGAGTTCGCCTCGGCCTTTTCGGAGGCACGGGTTTGGGACGTGGAGGAGGGGTTCTGGGATGGTGCCAGTGCGTTGCATAGCTCGTAGAACGCTGGCGAAGAGGCGAAGAATGTCGTCGGGAAGCTCCTTTGCCTCCTTAGTAGTCCAACCGTCCAGACCCCCCGCGCGTCTCGGTGAACGGGTGCGAATGAAGTGGATGAGTTGGTCGTCGGTGAGGTGGAAAGGGGTAGCTGGTGATGGCGTAGGCAGCTCCTGTCGGTACTCGTCGTAGAAGTCGGCCCACGTCGGCATGGCTTCGGCATCATGTCCCGCACGTGCGCGGTACCTGCCCAAGATGGGCTCCCAGGTGTCGACCATGAGCTTCAGCATGTCCTTGATGTTAGCAACAATGGCGTTGGCAGGGAGGATGTCGGGGACTTGCGCAGGTGGTGGTTCACGGGTGTGGTCTTCGTCGCTGTCCGTGTCGGGCGAACTACCGTCGCCGGGGCTGAAGCCGCCAGCTTCGGTGTCAGCGTCGCTGTCGTCCGTGCAAGCTTCGTCAGGTTTGAAGGCGTTGGTGTCGCAGTGGAGTTGCGTATCGTCAGGAGTGGTAGGCGTGCGGAGATA